GGGACTCGATCCCGGGACTCCAGGATCATGACCTGAGCCGAAGGCAGTCGCTTAACCAACTGAGCCACCCAGGCACCCTAGAGAGGTTTTTTTGTTTTTTTTTTTTTAATCCACTTTACATTATTGGGATTACTGATATATTCTTATTTATTTTTACCCTCTTATTTTGTGCTTGATGAAAGAAGACAAACAGATGACCAATAAGCAAATAAAAAAATTATTCATTATCATTAATCATTAGGGAGATGCAAAGTAAAACTGCAATGAGATATCACCAGTATCTATCAGAACGGCAAAAAACAAAACCAAAAACAACCTAGACAACACCACATGCTGATGAGGATACAGAGCAACCAGAACTTTTAGACATTACTCACAGAAATACAAAATGGTACTGCCACTCTGTAAAGCAGTTTGGCAGTTTCTTATTAAATTAAATGTACACTTACTATAAAACTCAGCAATTTCACTCCTAGGTATTTATCCAAGTGAAATGAAACCCTATACTCTCATAAAAAACTACATCAAAGTTTATAATGGTTTTATTCATAATCACCACAAACTGAAAACAACTCACACATCCCTAAATTTGGAAGTAAGTATGGTATAGTAGTCATACAGGGGAACACTACTCAGCCATAAACAGAATAAACTACTGATACACGTACCAATGTTGATAAATCTCAAATGCATTATGTATTATGTATTATATATAAGTGAAAGAAATCAGACTTAAAAGGCTACATACTATGTGATTCCATTTATTTTTTTTAAAGATTTTATTTATTTATTTGACAGAGAGAGACACAGAGAGAGAGGGAACACAAGCAGGGGGAGTGGGAGAGGGAGAAGCAGGCTTCCTGCTGAGCAGGGAGCCCCATGTGGGGCTCGATCCCAGGACCCTGGGATCATGACCTGAGCCGAAGGCAGACGCTTAACGACTGAGCCACCCAGGCATCCCTATGTGATTCCATTTATAGGAAATTCTAGAAAAGGCAAAATTACAGGGACAGAGGTAGGTCAGTGAGTGCCAGGAGCTGGGTTTACATAAAAAGGTTAACCACAAAAGCACAGGAGGATTTTGGTGGGTGATGGGACTGTTCTTTATCTTGATTGTGGTGATAGTTACATGACAGTAATGTTTGCCAATAACAATAGACCTATATACTAGATATGGGTTGAACTGTGTCTCCCAAAAGTTCATATGTTGAAGTCTTAACCCTAAACCTCAATACCTCAACATATGACCTCACTCAGAAATAGGGTCTTGACAGATGTGGTTACCCTAAAAATAATATTGAGACTTCCAGTTTCAGATACTACATGTAAAGAGCTTATAAGTTGCCATTCCCATACTTAAAACAAAAAAAAAGCTGAACAAACTGAAAACCAGCAACCCTTCTTCAATCCACTGGAGACACAGGTAGGAGGGCAAACCATCACCCCAAAATCTACAGAGAGATGAAAATCCTGAGAGTTACAGCCAAGATCTGCTTACCTGAAGGAACACTTAAATGGTAACTTTAATGAACTGGTAGAGGTTGAGTATGGACTAGCATGAGATTGAGGAATTCCTGGAGGCCATAGTTTTGGCCTCCAATACTACTGAGAGTTTTATCTCTAGGAATCCCACCTGGTTCTCACTGTGAAGAGTCAAGAAAGATCCTCTTGTAGCTCAGGCAGAGGGAGTAGAAACAAACATTAAGAAAAAGTTTAGAGCAGTTTCCATAATAAAGGTCTATACTCACTTTATCAGAATCTTATCTCATCTGGGGTAAGGATATTTCACTGATTCCAGACAGGAATGGGGGGAGGGGAGACAGTAACAAACACAATGAAGGTCATGGCCTAGGAACACAGTCCACCAGAAGACTGAGACTGAATTATAAGATTATAGATGGTTTCCCTTCCCTCATACTTTACCACCACACTAACAGGGATCTAACATAATAACAGCAGAATACAGGTGAAAGAGTTACAAGACACAGATTCTTTCAAAGGAGGAGTTCTTAGGGAAACCCAAAGACAACAGGGGAGACAAAACAAGGAAACTAGAGGAATTTGAAGCCTTGGCACTTATAGCTACAACAAACATTAAACAAAGCCCAACTCCTAGCTAGTTTAATATAAAAGCTCACACTAAAGGCCTATTTAATTCAGTTACTATTACCTAATACATTGCATCTTGCTCTCAAAAAAAAAAAAAAATTACAAGGCATACTCAAAGAAAATCACAGTATGAAGAAATAAAACAAACATCAGAACCGGACTCATATATGATAGATTTTACAATTATCAGACAGGGAGATTAAAATAACTATGATTAATATGTTAAGAAATCTAATGAAAAAGTACACAACAGGGATGCTATGGTGAGTGCTGTGAATTGTGTAAGACTGATGAATCACAGACCTGTACGCCTGAAACAAATAATATGTTAACTAAAAAAAAAAAGGAATGATGAGGCTGTAGCAAGAAAGGAGCAGAACCTGCAAGGGAACTTTAAATAGGCCTTGAAGGGACAGGAGCACAGAAGCCAGACTGCCTGAATTCATATTTCTAGCTGAACAGATTACTTAACCACTATTTACCTCACTTGTGCTAATTTAAAATTGGAATAATAATAGTACCAGTCATAAAAAGTTGTTCTTAGGATTCTTAGTTAATAAATGTAAAACATTTAGCAGAGCATCTATGTTCTTCATCAGGGGAAAATGGTTACTCTGTGGAGATAGTGCAGTATGCACCTGTGGATATAAGAACTATGTCCTTGGGAGAAGATGTAATTTAGCTCTCTTAGTTTTCCAGAGAAGGTGAAATTTTTGGAGCTTATCACCTAGAGCATTGGTCTGCAAAGGAGAGTGCATACTACCCAGAGGATATGAAAAATAATCCAGTGGAATTTGGAAAGAAAAGATGTGCCAAGAAATGTAAGGGATTATTGTCATTTGGTTCATGATCATCACCGGCAGCGCGGATTTCCTAGACATCCAGTCCTTGGCATTACTGCTCCCTAGTAAAGAATTCTCTTCCATGCATGGGATAGGATTTTTTTCCTGGCCTTCTTATGAGTAGGTGGGACCATGTTATTAGTTCTGGTCAATAAAGTATGAATAGAAGTCTCTAACCAGTCTCTCTCTCCCTGAATAACTGTAGTGGGCAGAACCCCCCTGCTGACATGCAGTGGACATGTAACATGAGCAAGAAATCAATTTTTGTTGTAAGCTACTAATGTCTCTGGGGTCATTTGGGGAAGATTCAGCATAACCTACTTTATTCTGACTGATACAGTATCAAATAGGGATCCTTTTTTTCCCCACTACATAGATAACTGGTCTTTAAATACCATTTATTGAATTACTCTAAACTTTTCTCACCAAATTAATTTCATACCTGTCATGTATGACATTTTGATATGTAAACGCAACTCTTGATCACCTGATCTATGTCTGTGTCTTCATATGCCAATATTACACTCTTATTTATTATAGTATAACTTACAAGTTTTGATAGCTGATGATGTCCATTCATATTAAAAATCGTTATGTTTTCGGGGCATCTGGGTGGCTCAGTTGGTTAAGCGACTGCCTTCGGCTCAGGTCATGATCCTGGAGTCCCGGGATCGCGTCCCACATCGGGCTCCCTGCTCAGCAGGGAGTCTGCTTCTCCCTCTGACTCTCCCCCCTCTCATGTGCTCTCTCTCTCTTTCTCTCTCTCAAATAAATAAATAAAATCTTTAAAAAAAAATAAAGTGCTTTGCCTGCATGAAGATTATTCAAAATGCATGAAAGGTGGAAAATACAGAGATTATTTAGAACACAAGAGGGTTTTATCTTCCTGCTCCTAAAAAGATATTATTATGCCATCATATTAATAAAAAGGCAGAATAATGTCAAAATAACCTATTCTGACTCCATGTCTCGGCAAATCACTTGAGGGAAAGAGGTTTCGTGTGCCATTACTGGATATACTAATATGGTCACTGGACTCAGCGGGCCACTAACTTAATAGAAGTTAGTTAGTAGAGAACAGCAAATATTTAGAAGCTCAGTCACCAGGATCCTTGCCTTTACAAAGATACAAGATTCCAACCCTAATCATCCTTCTACAATTCTGAACTTAAACTGGACTAGGGGGCAATGCTAGTTACTACTTCTAAATTACAGCAAGATCCGTTTAGTGTTATAGAGAACAATTTAATTTTCAAGTACATACTGGGTTCTAACAACTATAATGGCAAATACCACTTATTTCAGAAATCTGCAAAGTACAAAGAAAAAGACTCTAATTTTAACACAAACTAATTTATGACACCTTTCACAAACACGTAAACCACAGAGACACTGCACCATATTCAGCATCCCTGCTATACTGAGGAAACTTCAAATATATGTATATGTAAGCCAAAACTCTTAGAAAATCTCCACATTAAAAAAAGAAAACTAGTGCTTGCTTTGGCAGCACATATACTAAAATTGGAACGATACAGAGAAAATTAGCATGGCCCCGTGTGCAGGGATGACATGCAAACTCGTGAAGCATTCCATATTTTAAATAAATACATAAATAATAAAAATAAAAATAAAAAAGAAAGGTATCTGCAAAGTAGTATAAATAGGTAAATAGCTAAAAGGGAACTCAGTTATGATTTCCCATTGAAAGTAACTGTAAGGAACTTATGGCAGATTTTGCATGTCATCATAACCTATTGAAAAAGTATTTTAAAATATTATTTCATGTACTATTGCCACGATGCCAGGGATTTCCCTCAAAAGAATCTGGTAGAAATGGAAGGGGGTGGGAGGAATATAGGAATGGAAACATGATAGTTCATGAATTGATAACTGTTGAAGCTGAGTAAGGGGCCTGTGGGGGTACATTATCCTATTCTTCCTAATTCCATATAGGTTTGACATTTTATCCGTAAGAAAAGTTAGAATTATTATACACTCTTGATGAACAAATTTAATCTTCACACCCTAAAAGCAAAGAAAAACTAGTACCTTCCAATCTTTGAATTTTTGCTTTCACAGAAATAACAGCTTCAAAGGGTGAAACTCTCAGCTCAAAACATGTTCCAGTCAACGTTTCAATGAAGAGCTCCATGGTATCATAGAAAGGAAGTTTGTAGTAAAATGGTCCCACGTTATCTTCATTGAAGAATGGAGGATCTTTTCTGTTATCCATTACTTTGACTTTTCTAATTCCTCTGGAATATGTTGTAGGCAACTGTATTCCAGTTCTAGACAAATCAGCTTTGAACATTGGTAATATATATCGTTGTTCATGTTTTGAGTTTTGTACCTAAAAAAACAAGAATAATTTTTTTAACAAGACTATCTGGAAGTCTTATTCTGCCATAGAGACTTTCTGAATAACTCTGGCCCACATCAATCTGCCAGAGAGCCCCAGAATTCTTTTTAGTACTTAATTTGTCTAATCCTCTATCTTTCAAGTTTATCTCCAAAACCACTCTCCCAATCAGACTGTAAGATTATTAAGAACAGGTATATTTACAATACTTTCCTGTATCTTACTAGAGCTCAGCACATTTACTTATAATACATACTCGACAAATATATTTTTGTTAATGACATTTAAACCAATGAACTCCACACAGAGACATGTATTTGCAAGATTTTGAAAATTTTATGCATATCCTTTACTAATCCATGTAAATTGTTTTCTAATCCATATAAAATATAACTTTATAACCACTGTACATCTAAATCACTCTGAATAAAAGAACACCAACCATGTTGATAGGTTCCTTAAAAATAGGAAACTCACTAAATAATCAATAAGCATTCCAGAGTTATCTATCAGTACAGCACTAAAATGACATCAATATTGGTAGCAGACATTAAGACATAATCTCTACACACAAACATGCAATGACTAATGAATATTAGAGGTAAACACAACAGACAGAAGTCCTAAGATAAATTACAAATGTATAATTAGGAGAACAGGGACAACCAAATTGATAAATTGCTATTAATCAGTGAAAACTCTGTAAAGGGAATGTCTTGAACTTAAACTAGGACAGGTGATACACATCTTCTTGGAGGGGTAGGTATATCTTTACAATAGCTTTATTAAAATATAATTTACATACCATAAAATTCACCTATTTAAAGTCTAAAATTGACTGGTTTTCATTATGTTCACAGAATTGTACAACCATCACAATCATCTTTAGAACATTTTCATCACCCCAAAAAGGAACCCCATACTCTATAATCATCACTCCCAAATTCTCCCTTTCCCTCTCAGCCCTAGGCACTCCCTAATCTACTTTCTGTCATTTTGCCTATTCTGGTCATTTCACATAATCATACAATATGTAATCTTTTGTGAATGGCTTCTTCCACTTACAACATTTTCAAAGTTCATCCATGATTCTAAGATGTATCAGTATTTCATTCTTATTGCTGAATAATAATCCATTGTATGGCTATACCACTTGTTTATGCAGCCATCAGTTGATGGGTGTGTTGGGTTGTTTCCAATTTGGGGTTATTATGAGTAATGCTATGAGAACATTTGATTACAGGTTTTTGTGTGGACATGTTTTCCTTTCTCTTCCATAGATACCTAGGATTGGAATTATTGGGTTAGGTGGTAACTCCACATTTAGCAATTTGTGTTACCACCAACTGTTTTCAGAAGTGGTCTGAACCATCTTACATTTCCACCAACAATGAAAAGAGGGTGATGATTTCTCCACATCCTTGCCAATACTTTTTATTACCTTTTTTGATTAAAGCCATCCTAGAGAGTGTGAAGTAGTATTTTACTGTGGTTGTAATTTTCTTTCCCTAAAGACTAATGATGTTGAGCATCTTCTTAGGTGCTTATTGTCTGGCTATTTGTATATCTTCTTTACAGAAATATCAATTCGGAAAAATACATTCATATCCTTTGACTATTTTTACTTTGGTTGTCTTCTTATTACTGAGTTATAAAAGGGATTTTTAATGTTTTTTAGATACAAGCCTCTTAAAGATATGATTCACAAATATATTCTCGTTTTATGGGTTGCCTTTTAACTTTCTTGACAGTGTTCTTCAAAGTACAAAAGTGTATTTTAATGACCTCCAATATGGCTGTTTTTCTTTTGTTGCTTGTGCTTTTGGCAACACATTTTAAAAGCTTGACCTAACCCAAAGTAATAAAGATTTACTTGCATATATTTTTTTCTTTTTTTTAATTTTATTATGTTATGTTAGTCACCATACAATACCTCATTGGTTTTTGATGTGGTGGTCCACAATCCATTGTTTTCGTATAACACCCAGTGCTCCATGCAGTACGTGCCCTCCTTAATACCCATCACCAATGGCTGACCAATGGCTGATAAATTGCTAACCAATCCCCCCTCCCACCTCCCCTCTAAAACCCTGTTTGTTTCTCAGAGTCCATACTCTCTCATGGTTCATCTCTCCCTCCAATTCCCCCCCCCATTTTTCCTTCCCTTCTCCTAATGTCCTCCATGCTATTCCTTATGTTCCACAAATAAGTGAAACCATATGATAATTGACTTTCTCTGCTTGACTTATTTCACTTAGCATAATCTCCAGTCCCACCCATGTTGATGTAAAAGTTGGGTATTCATCTTTTCTGATGGCTGAGTAATATTCCATTGTATATATGGACCACATCTTCTTTATCCATTCATCTGTTGAAGGGCATCTCGGCTCTTTCCACAGTTTGGCTATTGCGGACATTGCTGCTATGAACATTGGGGTGCATATGGCCCTTCTTTTCACTACATCTGTGTCTTTGGGGTAAATACCCAGGAGTGCAATTGCTGGGTCATAGGGTAGCCCTATTTTTAAATTTTTGAGGAACCTCCACACTGTTTCCCAAAGTGGCTGTACCAACTTGCATTCCCACCAACAGTGTAAGAGGGTTCCCCTTTCTCCACAACCTCTCCAACATTTGTTGTTTCTTTCCCTGTCCATTTTTGCCATTCTAACTGGTGTAAGGTGGTATCTCAGTGTGGTTTTGATTTGGATTTCCCTGACGGCTAATGATGATGAACATTTTTTCATGTGTCTGTTAGCCATTTGTATGTCTTCTTCGGAGAAGTGTCTTTTCATATCTTCTGCCCACTTTTTGACTTGATTATTTGTTTTTTGGGTGTTGAGTTTGAGAAGTTCTTTATACATCTTGGATACCAGCCCTTTATCTGTAGTGTCATTTGCAAATATCTTCTCCCATTCTGTGGGTTGCCTCTTTGTTTTGTTGACTGTTTCCTTTGCTGTGCAGAAGTTTTTTATCTTGAAGTCCCAGAAGTTCATTTTTGCTTTTGTTTCACTAGCTTTTGGAGACGTATCTTGAAAGAAGTTGCTGTGGGCGATGTCAAAGAGGTTACTGCCTATGTTCTCTTCTAGGATTTTGATGGATTCCTGTCTCACATTGAGGTCTTTCATCCACTTTGAGTTTATCTTTGTGAATGGTGTTAGAGAAATTACTTGCATATATTTTTCTAAGAATTGTATAGTTTTAGCCTTATATGTAGGTCTATCCATTTTGAATTTATGTTTGTGGATGGTGTGAAAGAAGGGTCCAGCTTTATACTTTTGCAAGTAAAAACCAATTGTCCAAGCAGCATTTGTTGGAAAAACTATTCTATTCCCATTGAATTGTCTTGGCACCCTTGTCAAAAACCAATTGACCATGAATATGAGGGTTTAATTCCAGTCCCTCAATTCTTTTTTTTTTTTTAAGATTTTATTTATTTATTTGAGAGAGAGAGAGAGAGCACATGAAAGGGGGGAGGGTCAGAGGGAGAAGCAGACTCCCTGTGGAGCAGGGAGCCCGATGCGGGACTTGATCCCGGGACCCCAGGATCATGACCTGAGCCGAAGGCAGTCGCTTAACCAACTGAGCCACCCAGGTGCCCTCCAGTCCCTCAATTCTATTACACTGATCTACATATCTATCCTTATAACAGTACCACATTGTCTTTTTACCTTTGCAATAAGTTTTGAAATAGAAAGTGTGAGTTCTCTAATTTGTTCTTCCCTTTCATGATTCTTGCTTATTCTGAGTGCTTTGAATTTCCGTACGAGTTTTAGGATCAGATTGTCTATTTTGCAAAAACACCAGTTGGGCTTTTGAATAAAAATTGTGTTGAGTATGCAGATTAATTTGGAGAATATTACCATCTTGACAATATTGTTTTATAATCCATGAACATGCAATGTCCTTCAGTTTATTTAAAACTTCTTAAATTGCTTTCAACAATGTTTTATAGTTTTCAGAGTACAAGTTTTGCTTTAAAAAAAAGTATTCCTAAGAATTATATTCTTTTTGATGCTACTATAAATGAAATTATTGTGTCCTATTCAATTTGTTCATTGCTAGTGTAGAGAAATACAATTGATCTTAATATATTGATCTTGTACACTGCAACCCTGCAGAATTCATCTATTAGTTCTAATAGTTTTTCAGTGGATTCCTTAGGATTTTCTTCATCAAAGATCATGTCATCTGCAAATGGAGATTTTCACTTCTTCATATCCAATCTTCAACATTCCAATAA